TATCTCTCTCTCTGCTTTTCTCTCTCTCTCTCTGCTTCTCTCTCTCTGCTTCTCTCTCTCTGCTTCTCTCTCTCTCTGATTCTCTCTCTCTGATTCTCTCTCTCTCTGATTCTCTCTCTCTGCTTCTCTCTCTCTCTGCTTCTCTCTCTGCTTCTCTCTCTCTCTTCCTCTGCCTCCCAATCTCTCTGTCTCTCAATTTCACTCATCTTATCTCATGGGCACTATTTCATTTTTTAGAACTTATTGAAAATGTATCATGTTGCCAAGAATTCACAACTATTCTACAGGATGACAGATCCTGAAGTAAGGTTGCAACAGCCCTCCTTATTAATTAGTATGCTGTTTTTTTTCTCGCAGAGTTAAACCAGATATTAAAATACACTTATGAAATATACAATACAACAACTTGACCATTAAAGACTCATAAATACCCAGATTGTTTATCGTTTCCTTTCTTGAAAATATTTATATAGTAAGTTGGCCCTAATTGTCACGACAGACATTTTTGCTGTCAATAAGTTCTCGGTATAGCACATTCCGTTCTTTCCCTCTTTCTATTTCGTTGCACGTTTGTTTACGCATATAGCCAAAGTGAATCGATCTGCAATTACAATATGTAACAACTTCCATCAAAGTACTAACACTCGCAGAGTGTCGTTCTCATTTAGGACCAAGTAAACTAGTGGAATATCATCCTCCCATATTTCCGAAACTTAACGTTAGAATTGCTTTGTCACAAAGTGACAACTTTAAGATTGAAAATAAGTTATGAGTATTTAAATATTTTCAGATTAAATAATATTGCTTTTGTGTAGAATAAGTGCGCCGCATATATTTTAAGACAATTTGTGACTCCGTTGATGAAGAAAATGCAATGAAATTGCTCAAATAAGGATTTTATTGACCTCCAAAAATCATATTTGTACATCAGCTACAGAATTATTCATAAAGTATTTAATAATCTTAACAAACTTTACTTTTTTATTTTAGGTTAATAATTGTAATAATAATAATAACGATAATAATAATAACAATAATAATATGGTAATATTAAATTGCTGTAGATCGAGCTCACAGTAGACGTAGTGCGGCTGTTGACAGCGCTTCAGGAAGAGCGAGCCAGGGTTGCCTATGTGGTTATGAACGATCTCAACAGGTAAGACAACTCCGATATAACTTTCAACTTCAATATTGCTCTCGTTACTCTGAGTGGATTATTAATATTTTCAACATGAATAATGAAACACAATAATATAATGAAACCAATGTGTTTAGGGATGTTCTCTCCAATATTGTCAGAAAAGTACGTAATGAAATGAAATTTCGCTCATTTTAGAAAAATTAAACTAAAATTTTATCGTAGCAATTGTTAATTATTAAACAAAAGCATGAATAAAACTCTCAAAGAACGATCTACTGACATCTTTAACAATTCGAGGCCTGTCTTAAAAGTATCCTATCTCTTGCGGAGAAAACAATATTGCTTTACAAGATGAGGTTAGCTCCAAAATATACTGCCTTAAAAGTAAGCTTCAAAACATTGACTCCACTTCCTCCTCCATTTCTAGACAAAAGCAGAAAAGTCGTATTTTGACTTGTCGCTCTAAAGTCAAGTTCTACATTACCTTCTGTCGACTGTTACGGTACACTACCGCACGTCATCATAGGTCATTATCACTTCACGACTGTCAAAGAAAATTGTTCCAACAACATCCTCATTTTACTCTGTACATATCTAGTTGTATTCTACCTTAAGAAAGTCAATTTTTTGCTACTTTGCACAATTCCTTACCCATTTTCTATCTACAAACTTGTTATAACTCTTGAAAATTGTTGTAGTTTAGGAACCACAAAACTTCTGACAGAACTTAATACATTATCAGCTGTCTACTGAGTTAATGATGTGAAGCGAAACAAAAATATGACGCACACGAAATAGAGCTCACAAAGGCTAACCCCATAACCATTGCCACCCGCAGTAAAACTATAACAGTAACTCATGCACTTGAAGGGAATTCTCATGAAGCGGCTCTGATTTCTCGACTACTTCACACGGAAAGGATTCTTTTCAGACAGGCCCGTATTCTTAAATACATTGAAAGAATTGCAGTGTCTTCTTTCAGAACAGAATTGCTGTCAGCGTTTTACGAGACAAACGCGACCATTCAGAGAATGCAATGTCACACATGGGGAGATGTCATCAAAGATGAAGAGGCGCTGTGGCACCACCTAGATGCCCTCAGGTAAAGTCCTCATTGATTCCATGTTTCTCTTATTTTGCTCTGCTGTCCCCAAATTCTTAATTTGTACTTTAGTTTCTGAGTGTTCAAATCCCACCTCTTTTGTTTTCTCTTGTTCATTTTGTTCGCTTCGCTTTTAACTGTCTCATAAAACTTTTTAAAATACGTTTCCATCGATTGTCCGATTGTTTCCAAAGCAAAAGTTCGTATGAATGTTGTTTTGTTCCTTTTTCAGATTCAATAGTAAGATAATCCCACGTACTCCCCTTTATTGTTGCATGCAGCGCCAAGAGAGGAGAGGTTCTTAATCTGACGTAAGTAATTCTTAAGGGGCTGTTGCATTGTTATGTCCAATAGAAGTTATTTAAGCATAATACTTGAAGCAACCTGACGTTTTGCGATTGAATTTTTATTTATTATTTCATATATTTAATTTTCCACTATTATGTCAGAATTTAATACCAGTCAAAAGTAATTTAAACCAATTATTTGGAATGCACACTTTAGGTCTGACCCTATATTGGCAGGGTTAATGTTTTTTACGCATTCCTCCGCTCATTTCATTTCAAATATAAAACAAATAGTATTCTACGCATGACATTCAGCTGTGACACCGAGCATCTGACTTTTTGTTAGAAAACTTTTATTTCACTTTTCTAATGAAGAAAGATATAGTTATATATTTAAAAATCGCAACTTTGAATACCTTTGAATACCACTTTCACTTTGAGAATGTGTTCTGATATAAATAAGATTTTCTTAAATGAGAAACTACCAAGAAATTCAGGTTCCACAGCTGAACTATTGGTATTTGGGTATCAATGTGTGTTATTTTCCAGGGCTCTGTTTATTACAAATTATTGTTTATAAGTACAAATTTACAATTGTAGTTCCCGATTTACAAGACATGTTACCTTGATTTTTTACATGAAAGTAAAAACAATATGAACAATAGTCTATAAAAACGTACAGTGCATGGTTGTGAGGGTTAATGCTGATTAATTGCTCTAGAAAACTATTTTAATCATTTTTTTTCATTTTAAATATGTAGTGATAGTTCAAAATTACAAGTTTTGTAGTGCATATATTGCACTATACTGCATAAAAATCTCAAACTGAATGCCTATAATGGCCTAAAAGGGGATGCAATTCAATCTACATTATTTGGCTCAATTCTCTCCTGTGTAGTGGTGGTCCCCCACTGCAGGCTCAATCGGTAGTGGGATTGCGGCGCACGGCGAATTAATCATCCGCTTTCAATCGTTTCCATCGTTTCAATCGTTGGCTATGGTGGCAGAAGCGGAGGCACGATGATCAAACAAACCAATAAGGGTTCTCTGGCTCACTCAAATTTCCCGAAAAAATGTTACTAGGAACGTTGCAAACGTGTACACAAATCAGTTTTTATATTCAAAACTTAATAGCCACACTACGTTAGCTGAAGAACAGTACTCATTACAATTGATTGAACTAATCTTAGAAATTCAACTGCTCTCTTTTTCAGTCATCTTTCGTTAGTTTCACAGTAATATGTATTTATATTAATTAATTTATTATTGAAGTAATGGCAAATTTATTGCAATAATTATGAAATATGTTTCACACCTATTAAACAATATTATTATTGTAAAGTATTCAATATTTTACTAAACTAAATTGAAAAATTACTTGTCACTTTCACCACACATTAGGAATGGAAATAGAAATTTACGAGTTTTTTAAACGCCAGTATACCTGTAAAATTTATTTCGGCATTTGTGATATTTTGAACGAATGTACCTTTATCTAAAGTAACATGAATAATTATACAGTAAAATAATGCTGATTAATCGCTCAAAGATTAAAAAAGCAAACGTAAATTAATGATCAAAGCTGAAATAATATCGTATTGTCTGAAGCTAAGTATTTCAGTAGTTCTTCTTTAGGAAGAGATATTTCTATATAAAATAATTATTTAAATAATATTTCGTATTTCCTTACTTAAACACTTCCTTTCTAATATTTCATTTGGGAGATAAACTATTTGGAGATCTCATATAAATAATTCTTTCATGTTTCGTAACTGTCATTCATGATGCCATTCACGTTGGGCGTGGATTTCTTGGAAGTGTTTATTTTCTGAATCCGTTATTCAATAAATTACGAATGCCTGCGGTTATTTTTCACCGACTCCTATATGATGAGAACAAGAAATTACTGAATTCGTACTTGGTACAATTTCCTCACTCTTATTTTAGCTACATCATTCAAAGATCATTTTACATCAAATGAATTACTTGAAACGTCATTTTAGTTTCTTAAAACATTTCTATTGAAATAAACCTAACTTAATCTCATAAATATTTATATAATCTGTTCACATGTTGGGTAAGCAATTGATATGAGCTTTTTCAATATAGATTTCAATTCATTTCAATAAAATAAAATCAGAATTTTAATAGCAAAATCTTATAGTTATTATTATTTTCTTTTTTTGATGAAAGTTTTGTAAGTTTACCCACTCTTTCCACATTTCTCTCTCCATGATTTGTTTTAAATTTCTTCTGGTGCTGTGTGGTTGTTCATTATCGTATAATTTTAATTCATGTTTATGAGGAGAATGTCAACGGAAAACATGATGCTGGAAAGGGTAGTTTAATAGT